TACGGGCGATGTGTGACTGCATAGAGCATACAAGCCATGACATAACCAATAGATTATCCTGCTCCCATTTGGAATAGTGTCGGTCTTCAGGCTTTGGCTTAGCTTCCTTACTGGTAATAAATCCGAGCTTACCTCTTCCACCAATTGTAAGCTTGGCTGATTGAGATCATTCAAGAAAATTTGTCCCATCAATTTTTACAGTAGTAATCTGTCCTCTGGCATTGTCATTGCTTCTCGGGAGAACATAGGTAGGTAAGCGGGCGTCTTTGTGTGAGTGCATTGATCACAACCCCTCCAAAAAAAATTTCTCACCAGCACCACAGTCCTCCGACAACATCTGAACTCCCAAAAACCTTTTCCACAAGGTTAGACAGGAGTTACAGGAAAAAGCCTAGGAAAAATAGGTATTGGCAGCAAAATATGGGAAGAAAAAAATTCCCAAAATAAGTTTTAGGGCTCTAAAAAGTTCAAGACTACTTCCTACAGTCCCTGGGTTTTACCACGACTTAAACAGAAGAGGTTTCAGTAGCAACCAATCCACCATACGGGCATGCAAGCCCTAACTTCCAGATCTGGATTTTTCGCCAATTTTCATCCAAAAAATTCTAGAAAAATCCAAAACAACTTCAAACCACCATGAAACTTATACCAAAATTCCCCTAAAATCAGGGCGAATCAGGGACCATCAAAGACCCATGAAGATGCTGCCGACTGTACGGACTGTTGACGTCAATCGACGGCATGCTGACGTCAGCAGATCTGCCTGTGAGTCACGACCAGCAATAGAGAGTTTTCTTGATCGTGTGGAGCCCTGATCCCAAGTTGTAAAGTTTAGAGATGTTGAAGAGAGAAGAAAAGAAGAAGAAGAAGAAGAAGGAGAAAGAAAGTGTTGAAAATGCTTGGTGTGGCACTGTTCACACCAAGAGACTTTTCTTCATAAGCAAAATTACAAAGGTGCCCTTCAATAGGTGCCCAAATACAAAAAAAAACAAAATGACAGAAATGTCCTCACACTCTTAACAGAATCCAAACAATAGAAAATTGACACTACCAACCCAACCCAAGTCAACCTTAATTTATCATTAATTCAATTGAAACTCTAGACTTATTGCATGTTCAATAAGTCTAGGGAAGAAAGAATAACCCAAGAGACTTGGCCACTCTCATCTCACGTTCAAATAAGTCTATCAATTGCAAAGGGTTCTCTAGGCAATGGACTTAATGAATATGATTTTCTTCCCTTTCCCCCAATCTCCTCAACAGCCACCCTCACACTACCGGACCTCTCTGTCCTAATCTCATTCTTGATCCTAGAGAACTGCCTTTCTCTCTCACACTATATGAGCGGAAAGATTCTATGTTTCCTCTTAGTAGTGTCCAAAGTTACTGGACTATTGCCCTAGTGGATCAACACTATGCCCTATTTCCCTTGATGACCCATTGAAGTGGGAGAGCTAACATTTATGAGGCCCTTTCAAATTGTTGATAGTTGTCCAAGGATGAGCAGTCAAACCTGAAAATATGTTGCCAGATTCCACTTTGCCATGTTTTCCACTCGCGTGCAAACTCCTTTACCAACAAACCACCTTGGGATTTGGAACTTGATGGTAGTAACTATAATGCTGGTTGGAGAATCTTTAAGGGGAATGTGAATGGGTAGGGTATTTGTTTCTGAATGAGCAACAAGAGATGAACGAAACCCTCTTTCCTCTTCTCTTATGAGCTTTTTAGGTCCCCTCTCTTTAAAATACCTCTTAAGTCCATCAATAAACAACTATTCTCCTTTAAAGTCCTTTGAGACATGGTTTAAGTCCCTAATTTCCCTAATATTTCCACAACATATTTCCATTTCCACGGGTAGCGACACGAAATTTTATCGGAATCGACATATTCCCCAATGAGCACTAGCAGAACTGTGTGGAGTACAAGATATAGTTTCCACGACATATTTCCATTTCCACTTCCATGGGTAGTGATGTGAAATTTTATTGGAATCATCATATTCCCCAATGAACACTACTAACACTATGCAGAGTACAAGTGATAGTATTTTTACAAAAGTTGGTAATAATATTGTAGATATGTGGAGTAACAATTTTATTGCCCACCTAACTTACATGATTATGACTTTTAGCTAGCTCAATATTCATTTCAAACGAGAAGTTAAATATTAGTTTTTGTTTATATAATAGATTATTTGGTTAACCTATTAGAACCGTTTACATTTTCTATGAGTTCGAATTTTGCTTTGACTCATTCTATCATGAAGTTTTGAATCTTAAGGTTTACAGGACAACTTCAGAATGTATTCTTTTGTCTATAACCTTAGTTTCTTAGCTTTGTTTAATGATTTGCAACAACATAATAATTTAAAAAGATGTGCGTATTCTCCTTCTATCATTTCATAAAATATCATTCTATATTTTTGCATATTTTACAATGTTTCCACCATGCCTATAATTTTTACAATATTTCCATACTATATTTCTGACATTACTGACACACTTCCTATATTTGGACAACTCACATTTCTACCGGCACCGACATTTTAAACCTTGTTTGAGATTTAAGACCTCTAATGGCCTTTAAATGGTCTCATATTGATGAAATAGGTGTCTTTCAAATAACAAAATTACTTTTGGAAATAAAAATTGTAACATTGAGTTCTATTGCCCTGGCTAGGGGTGGCCACGAGCCGAGCTTCTCATGAGCTATTCGAGCTTGTCTTGGCTCGGTTTAAACCGAGCTTTGAGTCGAGCTCGAGCTTGATAATATAGGCTCATTTGCTAATCGAGCCGAGCTCGAGCTCAGTAAAGCTCGGCTTGTGAGGCTTGCGAGCCTAGTATAATAAATAAATATTTTTTATTATATACGTACATATACATATACATATAAATATATATAATAAATAATTTTTATTTTATATAAAAATTTTTTATATATAGTATTTTTATTTTTTATGTATATTAGTAAATAATTTTCTTTTGATAAATGAGTGAAATTTTATTAAACCAGCAAATAAGAGTTACATGCAACCCGAGGAAAGGCACGAGATGTCACCTTTCCTTTAAAGCTAGTTATAGAATTATATGTACAAAAGAAATTACACTGAAGCCCAAAATAAAGTATCCCGGAGAACCCCTTGTTTTGCAAGTGAATCAGCCAATGAGTTTGCTGATCTGCCTACCCATTGAACTCCGATTGTCGTATTCCTTGTTAACCATTTAACCTTTTTGAGAAGATCTCTAAAACCCCAAATCACAGTGTTCGGATCCTTCGGTCAACCCACTATCACCTGGGAATCCCCTTCTATAATCAAATTCTCTATGCCTATCTGATTTGCAAACTGAATTCCTTGTACAGCAGCAAGTAATCCGGCCCTTAAAGAGTCTCCCACACCCGCAGGACCTAAGTACAAAGATATAATGTTACTATCTTTGTTTCTCAGCACTCCTCCTATGCCTGAAGGTCCTGGATTTCCTCGGCTACTTCCATCAAAGTTCAGCTTGATAAACTCCTCCCCTGGTGGCATCCATTCAACCCCATGTTTGTCTTTCCTGGTGAAAGTATTAGCCACTGCTAACCAGCTTCTCCATAGGTCATCAAAAGAGTATGCATCAAAGATCTTTAGAGTTTTCAACCACTGAATTCTTTAACTTCCGAGAAGCTCCTTTCCTTTTCACAAAAGATTCTGGTGTTACTTTCTTCCCAAACTGTCCACAACAAAGCTGCTCTTATGCACTTCCACATAATTCTCCCTCTCTTTGTGTGCCATTCAAAAATAGATGGACTAAACAACAAGCTAGTATCAGATGGCAGGTTCCACCTACACTCAAACAATGTAAAAATCCAATTCCATACAGCTGTAGCAAAGGAGCAAGAGATCAGTAAATGGTGACAGTCCTCATTCTGAGATTTACAAAGAACACACCAATTAGGGGATAAGCACCAATTTGGTCTTCTCTTTTGTAGGTTTTCAAAGGTGTTAATCTTACCATAATAAACTTCCCAACAAAAAAAAACAATCTTTGGGGGAATGGGCCTTGTCCAAAATAATTTTTATAATTCTTATTTTTTTGTATGTAAAATAAAAACATTTTTATTTGTATATTTTTTAATTTTTTTTTTTAAAATTGGCTTGCAGTCGAGCTCAAGTCGAGCCGAGCTCGAACTTGCGAGCTTTGAAGTGAACCGAGCTCGAGCTCAAGTTTCTAGCTCGAATCGAGCTCAAGCCTAATACGGTTTCAGCGAGCTGAGCTCGAATAGCCAAGTATCCGGCTCGGCTCGGTTCAAAACCACCCCTAGCCCCGGCTCCCCCAACCTGTTTTCAAGGGGTAGTGAGGACACATTTTGATGGGTGCTTGGTTGGAAATCTGGAGCCATCAGGTGTTGGGGGAGCATTCAGAGGTGATGATCAAATGACCATTTTCCTTATTATGGGGGGTACCATTGGAGTGTTTGCCCTAACCTTTCTCTAGAAGTAACATTTGGATTCTCAATAGACTTTAAGAGGATTGAGTTGGAGGGAGACTCTTTAATGAACATAGAATTGATGTGAAACCTATTTAAAGATCCATGACCTCTGCATCGTTACATTGGAGAAGGTGGAGTTTTGGCATCCAGAATGAAAAACAATATCAGATGGATGCTGAGATTGTTTAATTGTTTGGCCAATGGTTTGGCTAAGGATGGTTGCTTCAAGTGAACTGTATTTGGTAGCTTCTCTTTCAGTAACAGAATTTGCTTTAATCCTTGTATTTTTTTATTGTATGTGCACTTGCTTTGTGCCTTTCCTTATCTATGTTCACCCATGGCTTTTAGTTTTGGGGAAAAGTAGACTGTGCTTTTGATAATTTGCAGTTTGGTAAAATTTTACTTGTTGACAGTTCAGAAGAGAAATTAACAAAAAAAGATGCTTCATCCCTGGATTATATTTTATTGGACAGTATTCATGTTGTTTTCTTGCTTCTTATTTTTGGTAAATCTGCAATGCTGATTAGGAGTTGAGCGTGGACTTAGAGTTGATGCGATGCGAGAAGCAATATATAATACATTTCCAGAGCCAAATCGTCATTTATTGCAGAGGTAGTTGATGTGTTATTTTGTTATCTAGTATTCATATTTCTTAGAAATTCTAAATCTTGTAAAGAAATTTGAATTTGCTAACCCATATTGATGATATTCATATGGTTGAACTTGTTTTTGTTCAACAATAATTTCCTTTGTTCTTTCAATAATCATGATGCCATGTCTAATCCTGAGTGGAATGAGGCCATAAAACTAGAAATTAATGCTTTATTGAAAACTCAAATTTGGGAGTTAGTTGAAACATCTTGAAGGCAAGGAACTAGTTGGTTGCAAATGGGTTACACTGTAAAATATAAGGTGGGTAGATCAAATAAGAGGTATAAAGCTAGGCTGGTGGCTAAGGGTTGTATCTAATAAGTTTAACTATCAAAAGACTTTTGCACTAGTAGCAAGAACATGTTGGTTAGAGTACTACCTTATCTTGCTACTTATTTCCGTTGGTGATTGTATGAGTTTAGATGTCAATGGTGCCTTCATAATGGGATCTTCAAGAAGAGGTCTATATGTTGCTTCCACCTGGACTTTGTGTTCTAGGTAATGACTAGAAGGTATTCTGCTTAAAGAAGTCAATCTATGGATAAAACAATCATGTAGAACATGGATTGAAAAGGTTTTAGGGTGTTAGCATATTAGATTAAACAAGTCACACGCAAATCATACCCTTTTATCAAAAGAGAGGAGTTTGTGTATAGCTAATGTAGGGCTCGTTGATAGAAGGCAAGATTGATGGGTATCCTTGCTTCACAACCAGAGAATATTTTCTGGTTTCCTTCCAGTAGTAAAGAGTTACTAGAAGATCACAACTCACAAAGAGATGAAATCACTGTTTCTCCAACAATGATTTAAAGAGGAGAAAAAGAACAGCTAAAGAGAAGAAAAATTAACTCATTCAATCCTGCTGTTGTTGACAGATTTACATGTATATATAGAACACTTCAAAGCTTTGAGTGAAATAGAAGTTTGGTAAAGTGAAACTGCAATTGACTCCTAATTAGTCACAGAAACTTCTAGATAGAAACCCAGGAAATAGAAACTTAGCAAAATAGTAGTTGACTCAAACTAATAGTTAGATTAACTACTGATTATATACCTTCCAAAATAATAGAAAACTCCTTTAAGAAAATAATAGCCGGTTTAGAAACTCTAAATTTTGAAACTTCAGTTTCCAAATCTGTGTGCAGCCACTGGTTCCTCCTTTTATATGTTATGTTTTAGTAACTTTGGGATGCTCAAATATCTGTACCAATTGATCTACTATATCCTCTATTGTTGTAGAAGGCTTGTACTACATCAATAACCTTGATTGTTTGTATGGATGATGTTGCAGGTATATGAAATATCCAATTGAGATTGTTTGGTTAAAAGTTCCTAGTTGCTCAGTTTGAGAGTAAAAATCTTAGATAGATGAAATATTTCTGAAGTATAATTGTTGCTTGGTTCAAGAAGAGAATCTTTATGTGTCGATGTAAGTATATCTTGAATTCACTTAAGGAAGCCGGTAAATTGGGTAGAGGGGAGGTTCAAACCCTGCACCTGTTATTAATCCTAACCATAAGTTGAGTCAATATCACTCAAGAAGCTCTGCTTGAAGACAAGAGTCAATATTAGATATTGATTAGGAAACTGTCGTGCTTGTGGTTTGATGAAATCTGTACTATATGCCGCCGAGGGGCATTTTTGTCTTTTCCTTTTCCTTTTTTATTTTGTCTTTGGTCGCCCTAGCATATAAATAATAAAGCTTCTGCCGCCACAGATAATTCTTTTGGCTCTCACGTCTGTCTCCTTCTTCTTCTTCTTCTTCTTCTTCTTCTTCAACGAAGGAAACATACTGATGTTCTGGACCTGAGAACTGTTCGGCTGCATCTCTTTTGTCTGTTCTGGGCTAAAACTCGACTGAAGTGATTCCAGGAGTTGTTGATGATTGGCTGAATCTTCTTAAGAGGTCAGCTGTTTTTTTTTTCTCTGTTGTTCCATACTTCGTTACTGGAAATCCCAGAATTCTCTCGGACTGATCAGGGACACTTTGTAAATCTTATTTTTTTTTTGGTTCTTGGTGCTGATATCAAGAACAGGTTAAGGTTCTGTTGCCCTTGACCGAATGATATAAGGTGGGTTTAATCTCTTTGTGGGTCGGATGATCCAGAAAACCCTTTTTTCTTGTGAAGAAATTTGTAGGTCATGAGTGACCTGGTTCGGCTGACTGGTACAGCAGCTGTTTACTGATGTTTGTGGCTAATATTAGCCTTGGGGGATCTGTTACCCCTGTGAGAGTGTTCAGGTGACCAACATATCAGCAGAAGTTGGGTTCTGATTGTAAATTACTCAGAGTGAGGGCTGTGTCTTCTCTTGTGGGTGTGTATAGACTGAAATCATGAACGGTGAAGAGTCTGCAACTTTGGGAACCACCATGAATCACAGTGGAATGAGTCGTGGTCATGACTCCATGAATTTCGCAATGACTATCACCCCGTTGGATGGTAGGAATTACCTGGCTTGGTCTAAGGAGATGCAGTTGTATATCACAACTAGGGGTAAGGCAGGATATATTAATGGGAAAACAAAGGAACCTAGGGCTGATACTGCAGAATACGATAAGTGGGACCAAGAAAATTGCATGATTATGTCTTGGCTTTTGACATCCATGTTACCATCCGTCAAACAGAATTTTATGTGGGCTGAGACAGCAAAAGAAATATGGGACCAAGCACAAGCAACTTACTCAGAGCAGAGGCATTATGCTAGAATTTACCAACTACAAGCAAAATCTTCGACATGTAAGCAGGGAGAAAGGAACTTGTCGACATATTGTTCTGCCCTCACTTCAGTTTGGAAAGAACTAGACTATTACCAGAACATTGAGTGGAAAAGTGAAAAGGATGCTAATGCATATAAAAAGTTAGTTTCACAACAAAGGGTGTTCGCTTTCCTTTTGGGTTTGAATCCTGTGTATAAACCTATTCATGTTCAGATTTTGGGCAGTAAGGATCTTCTGTCTGTCCAAGAGGTTTATGCACTTGTTCAGTCTGAAGAGAGTAGGAAGTTTGCCATGAATCCTCCTGAGGGGGAGACTATTGCTCTTGTTGTAAGGGGTAACACTAGGGCACCGAGAAAAGGGGAAAATCAGAAAAAGACAAATGATAAAGACAAAATGTGGTGTACTCATTGTCAAAAACCTAGGCACACCCGTGAAACCTACTGGGAATTGAATGGGAAACCGAAATGGGCACAGGAATTGGGTAAGAAATCAACACAAGAACCAAGCAAGAAGCCATACCAGAAGAAGTTTACTTCGGCTGACTTAGCATCTCATGAACATCAGAGTACTTCTTAGGGCTGCCTCCCTTGTTCTGACCCAAAGGAAGATATTATCAATTTCTTCTGTGACCACTTAGATCAATATGGTAGGGCTCTCCGCAGTGCTGATTCTGGACCTGCACCTACTTTTTTTTGCCTCCTCTTCAGATAATTCTGCCTCAGCTTTCCATGTGTCTACTGATAACCCAGAATCCTCATGGATTATTGATTTCGGTGCATCCAACCACATGACTGGTAAGTCAACCTTGTTTCAAACATATTCTCTTCTCTTTGGCAGAGATAAAGTGAGGCTAGCAGATGGATCCTTCTCCTCCATTGTTGGTCAATGATCTATATCTTTGCCTTTTGGCCTCTCCTTTTCTAATGTCCTACATGTTCCAAAGTTACCTATTAATTTGTTATCCATTAGTAGTATTATTCATGCCTTGAATTGCTCAGTAACCTTTCTTCCACATTCTTGTGTTTTTCAGGATTTGGCTATCGGGAGGACGATTGGTAGAGGAAACATGGTGGATGGTCTCTACGTGTTAGAGAACAAAGTCGGTCTTACAGTTTCAGAGTCTTTGAGTCTATTGAGTAAGAGTCAGATTATTTTGTGGCACCACTGTTTGGGCTATGTGTCTTTTGAGTCTTTGAAGTTTTTGTTTCCAGAGTTGTTTAAGTCTTTGTCTGTTAGTGATTTTCAGTGTCAAGTGTATCAATTGAGTAAACATTGTAGAACCTCATTCCCTTTACGTAATAAAAGATCAAAATTTCCTTTTAACATTGTGTATTTAGATGTGTAGGGACCTATATTCCAACTGAGAATGGTTACAAGTATTTTATTTTCTTTGTTGATGACTTCTCTCGCTACACTTGGGTTTGGCCTATGCATTCATGGGAGGAAGTTCCTAAAATTGTGAAAGACTTTCAATGTATGGTTTACACCCAATTTCAATCAAAGATCCGAATCTTTCAATCAGATAATGCCAACGAATATTTCCATGGAGACCTTATGGATTTCTTTGCATCTTGTGGCTCTTAACACAGGAGCTCATGTGCCAGAACCCCACAACAAAATGGGGTTGCAGAAAGAAAAAAATTGACATCTCCTTGAAGTTGCTCGAGGATTAATGTTACAGATGAATGTCCTAAAAAGATTTTGGGTAGATGTTGTTCTAACTGCTGCCTATGTCATCAATAGAACACCATCTTGGGTATTGGAATATAGGTCCCCTCATAAGCTCCTTTTCCCTAAAGCTCCTCTGTTTCCTATCCCTATGCGGATCTTTGATGTAACTGTTTTGTTCATGATCTCTCTCCTACTCATGGTAAGCTCGATCCCAAAGCTCTTGTGTGCATTTTTCTTGGTTATCCCCTTGCTCACAAAGGTTATCGTTGTTTTGATCCTATGTCTAAAAAATACTTTTCCTCTATGGATGTCTCTTTCTTTGAAGATGTTCCCTATTTTCCTGTTTCTCCTCAAGGGGAGGGTAGAGTTGAGGAGAAACAGAGTCAGACTCAAGTTTTGTTGCCCTCTATTCTTGATCCTCCTCCATTTCGTGTCTTTCGGAGATTATGCTACAAAAATCAAGGCCAACACAGTTCAATTGCCACAGAGCCACTGGAAACCATGCCACCAATGCCATTAGAATCTCATGGGTTGGATCGTTCACCCCACCCAGGTACTATTGTTCCAGTTGATGTTCTTGAACCTATTGATATTGACACTTCAAGTTGTGATATGAACCTCCCTATTGCAAAAAGGAAGGGTGTCAGATCATGCCCACACACCACCCTATATCTCATTTTTTGTCCTATAAGAATGTCTCATCTTCTTTTCGTGCTTTTCTATCTTCCATTGATTGTTGTCCCTCTTCCCAAGAGTGTTGCGGAGGCCTTACTTGTCCCTGAGTGGACAGATGCAATGAAAGGAGATCAATTTTTTCCACAAGAATGGCACATGGGAACTAGTAGATCTTCCTAAGGGAAAGGAACTTGTAGGGTGCAAATGGGCCTTCTCTATAAAGCATAAGGCAGATGGGTCCGTGGAAAGGTACAAAGCTCAGCTAGTTGAAAAAGGTTTCACACAGGTTCATGGAGTTGATTATGCCGAGACTTTTGCCCCGATTGCAAAAATGAACTCTGTTCGGGTTCTCCTGTCTCTAGCTGCAAATCTTGATTGGGAGCTTCACCAACTTGACATAAAGAATGCCTTCCTGAATGGTGATTTGGAAGAGGAAATGTATATGACTCAACCCCCTAGTTTCTGTGCTAAGGGAAGTGAACAGAAAGTTTGCAAATTGAAGAAATTTTTGTATGGTCTAAAGCAATCTCCGAGAGCTTGGTTTAGCAGGTTTCACCAGGTAGTTCAATAGATGGCGCCAATATTTGGTCGCCCTAACATATAAATAATAAAGTTGGCGCCACCAGAGATGATTCTTTTGGCTTTCACGTCTGTCTCTTTCTCCTCCTCCAAACATGGTTCACATAGCTAGATATTTCTTATACAATAAGTGTAGTTGGCCAATATTTGCATCAGGCGTGTACCATATCTTGAACCAATTGAAAGAATTCTAGTTTGTTTTAAAAGATGTAGGAAGCAGATAAATTAATGTTTAATTCTCTTTATATGGGTATTTTTTGTATTTCTATATATATATTTTTGAGAAAAGAGGTAAGGTAATTAATTTTGTCAAAAAAGGACAAAATACAAGTAATTGTCAAGTATGCTCCATGCACAGTCAACAACTATATAGAGAAGAGTGTTATAATCAAGTACTTTTTGTATTTCTATTTATTGAGGGTTATAGTTGTTTTCTTGGTCAACAAGGGTATTTGAATCCTTTGACGTGTGTGAGGGGCAAGTTATTATTTTTTAATACCTATAAACTAGTGGAATAGTCCATGCTAAGCACAGGCAAGGAAGCCTAAAAGTTGGAGATCGATAAGGACAAAGAAAATAATGTACATTCACTACCTAAATTTCAATAAAGAAAATAATGTACATTCACTACCTAAATTTCCATTTAATAAATAGGAAGTAATTATGTTGTCATTTCCAATATGACGTGGGCAGATAAGCAAGATTTATGCAGTACTTCGGGTGAACAACAATAAGAACAATACAAAGTTGAAAACAACAAAAACAAGTTGGATTCTTAGAGATAATGGCATCAAGTTGGGCTCTCGTGCAAACATGTAGCAATAGAGGGATTGGAAGGCACTGAATGGATTTGACTCCTCAAAACCCAAACTCCTAATACTTAAAAACCCTAGCTGGGGGTGAGCTACAACCTATATAAAAGAGAAAGAGCCAAAAAGACCTACAAAGAAACAACCCCCTTCTCTTTTATAAGACTCAATGGCTTGCTAGAGTAGAAGATCAAGACTGTAATCAGTCTTGAATCCTAATAGGTTTTAGATTTACAAAATAGAAGAAAAGTGAGAGAAAGAAGAGAGAATAGAAGAGGAGCAGGAGAACACAAGTGGTTGAAAGGAGGAACAGATTCTAACAGATCTGCCGCCGCCACTTTCTTTTTATTTATAGGTTATGTTTAGTACACAATGGAAATGACACATCTGCCCTTAGTACTTACATAATAAATAAAGTAAATAAAAGCTGAAATAAATAACAACTGAATTAACAAACTGACACTACTATAACTAAAACAAATAACTACACATGCTGTCCTACGAACACAGTGGGGACCACTGCAGTGGGGCCCACATCAGTGTTCTCTACAGCTAGAGAAGCCAACTAAAATATTTACACATAAGCCCCTAGACTCCTTTCACAAACAATTCCTTAGGAACAAAATTTAACTTCAAACAACCCCCAATAGATAACTTGTATTACAAAATCACCTAGGAGACCAAAACCCAATAGATGTGCACCCAAATGCCCCTGACCAGAATCTGAATTTAAAATGACAAAATTCCTCTGGACCTAAATTGACTACAAAGCTTCCCAAGACAACTATTTGGGGATCCTACTACAAAAACAAATTTAAAACATTTTTGCATCAATTCTTTATTCTTTTATTCTTTACTTTTTTGGACTCATCAACATACTTTTTTGGATTTTTTATATTTTGTCTATTTTTATATCATCATTATCATCCAAGCCTTATCCCAACTATATGAGGTCAGCTATATCTGTTCTATTTAATGCCATATCCATTGTTAATATAATCTTTACTGATTTACAAAGTCAGGGGTTGACCCTTTTAACTCGTATAACTGGATTGTTGACCCACAACCCAATTATTTATTGTACATATCTTTTGTATATATTTTTATTTTCATATATTTTATCCATTTCTAAATATTTCCTATTGCTTATAACACCATAGGTGTATATAGTTTTTCTGTTTTCTGGTTCAGATTTGAGTTAGAGAGCAAGAAAAGAGAGAGAGAATATTTTGGGAGGCAAAAGAATGAGTGGTGACCGCCCCTCTTGTTATTATATTAGGGTGAACATAAAACTAAGTAAAATGACAACTATACGCCCCTAAGACAATAAACCATACAAATACAAGTAATGATATGTGGTTCACTACTCAATTTATTTTGTTCCTTATAGGTCGCTGGCTACTCTTCTTCTTCTTCTTTTCTATTCTTCATCTTTTCTCTTTTTCCTCTATTTTTTCTTAAACTCAACACCAGGAAATAAAGCACTGGACAAAATTAAGATGAGACCTTTAGTATTTCTATACATCTAAGTTTTAACCTTTTTAGGTATTTGAAAAAATTGGATTGGGGAAAGACAAAATGCATGGAAAAATAAATTATATCCATAGAATTAAAAACGATGAAGGTGGATATGAAACTAAGAAAGCTATAAATATTTTCTTCTATGCCTACTAGCTTATCAATATTATTTTCTATAGTTATTTCTAACTACGGGTAAAATAAGAAAGAGAAAATTATTCCGGCCTTAAATTGTTACATTTTAGGGGGGGGGGGGTTCAGATTCATACATTTTTTCCAGTTTCTTTTGTTAAGAGTATCATTATTTCTTCTTCTCCTATTCTTGCATTGATTATACAATTATTTGCATATTTCCATGTATAACTCTTCTTTTCTTTCATTTGGGTTCAGAATTCTTAAGATGATGCAAATAGTAGCTTCTCACAAATCTGAGAATAGGATGAGCTTATCTGCTGTAGCAGCATGCATGGCACCTTTACTTCTTCGACCCCTTCTCGCAGGAGAATGTGATCTTGGAAGTGATTTTAGCATGGGTGGAGATGGTTCCGTTCAACTTATGCAGGCTGCAGCAGCAGCTAACCATGCTCAAGCTATAGTCATAATTCTTCTAGAAGAGTATGACAACATATTTGATGTAAGTTTAATCTCTTTTACAAGTTATTGAGGGATGAGGAACTCTCCTGCATAATATAGTTGCTAATATTTATATTGATAACTTTGGTAGAAGAAAACTGCTTATATCCACTTTTAAAATAGAAATCTTCATGTCATAAGCAGTATCCTATTAGTTTATTCAATTATGTATAAAATCATTGTCATTCCATGATTGGTTTAGTTGACAGGTCCTAGAAGTGCTTTTTCTTTTTTCTTTTTTTTCCTTTTTCCATCTCATGCAAAATATAACCGAGTTTATTTTGACTCAGCTTTTTCTTGTAAAACTTTTTCATTCTTTTCTTCAGCAACCTTTGTTGTTGGAACTTGGGGCATTTTTACATTAGTGATTTTCAGGCATATTTTTGGAAAGCCTAAAGATGATTTCTAGGGTAGTTGATGGCACTTTTTCTCCAAGGCTTTTCCAAGAGAATATGACAATATTACTATAGGATAACCAAAGTTCATTTTATATAATTTTGTTTTTTATTATAATGGACACTAATGGCTATTTTTTTTTATTAATTGTCATCTTTTAGTGTTAAGCTGTCTTTCTAAAAAAAAAATAAACGAATTTTCAGGACAATCAGTTGCAAGATGGTTCTAGTTCTCCTGAATTATATTCTGATATGGAGGAGAGTGGCAGTGAGGGTGAGGAGCAAAGTGTTGATGATGATGGAACAGGTGAAGATGATGAATCACAACATGAACTTGATGAGGATGCAGAAGGTGATCCTGAACATGCAAGAAGCGAAACATGCAGTGAAAGCAGCGGCAATGGAGATGGTGATCTACATGAAGATAAGGCTTGTACCTGTCCTTAACATGCAAATCTATCTTCACATGATAAGATGGTAATACTAATATATATATATATATATATATATAATGTATTAAGTATGTGTGTATGCCAGTGTTTTAAAGCGCAAGGTGCAAAAAAAGTGCAAGGGCCATTTTGCGCCCAAGGCACGAGGCACAATGTGAGGTGTGCACCTTTTTGAAGAAAGGCAGAAAAATGCAAAAAATGGTAAAAAATTCAAAAAATGAAAAATATTAAACAAAATGTTAATTAAAATTTAAAAATATAAACTTGAATTTTAAAATAAATGTTTTAGAAAACCTATTATCTCAAATTAAAATACATAATCATAACATACAAAGCATATTTAAAATGAAAATTTAAAAATAAAATCAGGCATAACATATAAAACATATTCAAGCATGTAAACTCTTAATTTCTTTATTTCTTTCCCAATTGCATTATTTCAAATAGATAATGTGATGTTAAACATTATGCATTTTTTATTCTACGAGCTGCCTTTCTACCAAGCCCCTTGATGCAAGCCCAAACAAGTTCATGTCAAGGTCTTAAATTCTTAATCCCTATAAAAAAGGTTTTATAAGTTTAAGTATCTTTTAAAAATATCTTTTATTAGGATGAATGAATTAGCAACATTTGCAAATATGGGGTTTGGACTTGTTTGGGCTTGCCTTGAGGGGCTTGGTTGGGGGTCCAAGGGCAGACTCCCAAGCCCAACTGCTAAGCATAAAAAACAAAAAAAATGCACAAATTTTCATAAGGCACATGCCTGGGCTGAAGCGCAAGGTGTACCAGGTGTGCACCTTTTGAAAGTGCTGCTCCTGGGACCCAGGCGAGGCACATACCCTAAAATGCACCTTGCTTATGCACCTAGGTGTGCCAATCACTGATGTATGATGATTGTGAGTGCTGGTAAGTTTAAGTTGACATGGTGAGAGTTGATCCTTTATTTCGTTGATGTGTGAGCCACCAACTAATTGGATAATCTAATGGATTTTAGTTCATATACACTATTGAGATCCCTTGGTGATGCAGGAATAACTCTTCAAAGATGGATAATTCATAGTCAACTAGAAAATACTTATTTTTTTTTTCAATTTTAGCTTCATTTCTCCCTAGTTAGCTTAAGATGGTTAACCAATCTTATGGATTTTCTCTTTTGTATTGTACCATCAAATGTGTGCTTAATTTTTCAACTTTGTATTGTACTGGTATGTCAATCCTTGTGATTTAGTCATCAAAGGCCATTAGCCAATCTTGATAGGCATTTGGAACTAACTTGCCAAAGAAATCTGGTACCATGCTCATATTCGCTCTGTTCCCTTATGAATTCTCTCATCGCAATGACAAAGGTCGAAAATAGCTTGGAAACTTTGAACAAAATATTAGGTGTTGTAGAACTGTTGGTGCACAGTAATAGGTGTATTTGTTTATTAACACTGGAGAGTACGGTAGTTTGTTGTAATGCATGTCATGGTGAAGCATTGCTGGTGTCTCCTAGTCTAGTGCCTCTTGGGCTATACCATTCATCTGTTCCATGGTCTCTTCAATGTCAACTTTATCTATTGAAATTTGGTCTTTGAACACATGGTTACACTATCCTTGTATTTTTTTTTATCAGCACACTATCCATGTTTTTGATAACCTTTTTTCTTTGCTCCATGGGGCAACACAATGGGGGGGAGCTGATGTAGGAGCTGAAGAGTCAAAATTGGAATTTTATGAAATTTCATGTATTTCTGTATTTTGGACTGTAGGGGTATTTTTGTCATTTTGTAATTTTCTGTAGGGTCCATTGATAAGGTTTAATTTTTCTAGTTATAGTTTGTTTATGTTTAAAATTTCAGAGTCATTGCATAAGTAGGATTAGAGTTATTTGAGTCTTCTTTGAATTGAAATAGGATATGGCAGCTTAGTTTGAGTCCTATTAGGATTATTGAGTCTTAACAGTTTGACTCCCAAGACTTATGAGTCTGTAGAGATGTAGAGCCATAACTAGTGCTGTTATTTTATTTATTATGGTCCCCACTACTGCTGTTAGTTCTCTTTATATTTGTTGTTAGGCTGCTGTTAGCAATGTTAGTTTATTAGTTATTCGCTTATGTAAGCAGTAGGGGCTTTAATGTAATTCGCTTATAGATGAGTGGGGCGGCAGCTAAGGCCAATCACTATTTTCTCTCATCTTTCTCTTCTCTCTTCTTCTTCTTCTTCTTCTTCCCTTCTCCAGTATTTTCTTCTTTTAATTTGCATCAAGAATTGGACTGGTTACAGTCCGGATTTGTCTACCTGGTATCAGAGCCAATCTAGAGTTTCTCATGTGTGTCTAATCCAGCCGACCACATGAGAATTGCCTAGGGCTGGAAGCTTAGAAAGAACTGTTCATTGGCTGATTCTTGGAGGTTACCAGAAGGGTTTTGCAGCTGTCCAAAGGCTTGTAGAGGCTTGGAGAGTGTTTTGGTAATCAAGAAGAATCAGAGAAGATTAAAAGGATCAAGATTAGGGTTCAGACCAAGATTGGAGGTGGCGATCAGAGTTTTCTGGGTAAGTTTTTATCTTTTCTTGAGACCGGCATCAGTCAGAGATAGGTTGGACTTATCTAGAAGGAGCGACTGAGCTTTCCCTTATTTTCTCAGAGTTTTTTCTAGGGTTTGTTCTTAACCCTACGACCAAACTTGACTGTGAACCTATTTCGAAGGTGTGGCTGAGAATTATTTTTGGGTGATTCCTAAATCTGTTTCAGCATTCCAGATTGTTTTCTAAGTGAACTCTAGACTTGTTTCAGCTTCCAAACCTGTTTTTTGGGGGTAAGAACCTTTTTTGGGGGAGTTCCTTTGCTGAGAACTGGTTCCTCTCGATAAACCTATTACAGAAATGGCAGGAGCCGAGTTTAAGACTCAAGGGGAAGGTGTTTTGGGGGCTGGAAACGTGGGACAAAACAATTTTCAGATCACTACTGTTAAATTTGATGGTTCTAATTACTTGGAATGGGCTTAGTCAACCATGATGGCGATTGGAGGCAGAGGAAAGTTGGGTTATGTGAATGGAGATGTAAAGACACCAGCCAAGGAAGATCCTTCATACGCCACATGGGTTCAAGAGAACTATTTGGTCATGACTTGGCTGTGTAACTGTATGCAGCCTCATATTAACCGCAATTATTTGTGGGCAAAAGCAGCTAAGGAAATTTGGGAAGTGATGAAGGAAATCTACTCTCAGCCTCTTAATGTTGCTAGGGCCTATGAACTGGAATGTGAAGTAAATAATCTCAAAAAAGGGGAGAATCCAGTTTCAGTTTACTTTTCCACTTTGAAATCCTTATGGCATGAAATTGATCTAGAAACTATTGAGTGGGAAAGTCAGAAGGATGTACAAACCTATAGAAAACAAGTTAAGACCAATAGGGTTTTTGAATTCCTAGTTGGTCTGAATTCAGAGTATGATATTGTGAGACAACAATTACTCACAAGGGAGAGTGCTGCCAATTGTTGGCTTTGAGTTGTCCTTTTCCCTTAAACATAATAGGTAAAACATGTTATGTCATTTACGTTTAGATTCCAATACCTTTTAAACTCTACCTTTACTGTTGCCAACTGCTCCACAGCCGATTTTTTTTTTTCAGTTTATTTCCTCCTTCAAGCACTATAGAAACATTTGCATTTTTAGGCTTCCCTATTTGACCACTCTTCTTGAAACTGTTCTGAAACCTGTCCGGGAGAAGTTTTGGGTGGAGTTTCCAACAAGTTTCCTTAGTATGCTTTGGTTTCTTGCAATATTCACATATCATTTCCTTCTTCTCAGTCGACCCTTTCGGTTTTATCCCAACATTTGCTAATTGTTCTAAAGGTGGTCCCTGTAGTTGACTTCATCTTTGGCCCGAATATTCTGCCTAGTAATGTTGAACTCAGGGTTGAGTCTTGTAAGAAACTCAAACACCCTGTTTCATTCTACCAAGCTTTTAAATGTCTCTACATCCTTGGTGCTCTCCCATACAATTGTCTCCATAACATCAATCTCCTACCATAATGACTTCAACATTGATTAGTAAACTACTACATTCTTTTTCCCCTGTCTCAGATTGTTCACATCACTCTTCAACTTATAGGCTCTCAGCCTCTCACAACATTTAACTTCCGTGAATATGTTTCAGTAACACTGTCCCAAATCTCCTTGGCTGAAGTCATCCAGAGGTAATGTTGGCTTATGTGAGGTTTCATAGAGTTGACTAACCATCCAATCATTCTGTAGTTCTCCTACATCCATTTCTCATATGTAGGGTCCGTCTCTGCAGGTTTCGCCTTATTGCCTGTGATATACCCCAATTTACCTCTACCACAAACATAAATCCGTATAGACTGTGCCTAGGCTAGATAATTGGTTCCATCTAGTTTAATTGTAGTCACTCCATTCAAAAAGGAATTTGCTGGACCAACCCCAGATATCAGAATTTTCTTCATTTCACTTCCAGATTGCTCCATTGATCAAACGAAAATAAAAAAACTAGTCTTTTCAATCTTTATGGGCCTAATTGAGGCCAGCCCAGTACCAAAAGGTTCAAGAATTAGGGTTTCACTGCACCCGGGTCAATGGGAGAAAGAGAGAAGAGGTAGCTGCTCCTGCCAGAGCTTCCCAACCTTCTTCAAACCTCAACCTCCCCCTTTTGGGAATCAAAAGACGCCTCCCAAGTTCTGAGCGTCACACCCAATCCTTCTTCTTATCCTGTAACTTGAAACCTCTCTGTCGGATAGGGTTTTGGGCAGAAAGATAATAGCTTCACTTCTTGACTCTTCGGCTAGACTCTAATTCTCCAAACCCTCTACCAACTAGGCAAGCAGTCCTCTGATTGATCATAAGCTTATCTCTCCATACACTCTAATCGAAGGGTATATGGGAAAAGAAAGGGAAGAAACTGCTCTGATATCAAGATGTAAATTTGTCCTTCAAATTTGATTACAGCAGTAAAAAGAACAGAGACAAGTGATTACAGCAGAAGGAAGAAGAAGATGGAGAAGAAGAAGAAGTAGAGAAGGATAGGAGAGTTCAATGGATCCCCTCCTCTCTCTCTTAATCTTTTATTTAATCTCTCTTAGCTTAGACTAATTACATCTCTGCCCTTTAAGTGGGCGGCCAGCACATAAAACACTTAAAAGAACACTACTTGAAATAAAAACAAGTACTAGGGCCCATTCGGCCCAGTTTCTCTACAGAAGCTAGAGTACAGTAAAAATAAATGGCCTTTTCATCTCAACTCAACTAAGCCTTGTCCCAACTATGTTGGTTTGCCTATATGAATATATTAAATCACAACAAATGACCTTTTTAATCTGAATGTATTAAATCTATAATGAACATTTTCAATTTATACTACAGCCATCTACTACTGCAGATATTAATTTTTTGCATATACTCATGCAATGGTTATGTTTTCTGCTTTCCTTTATGCTGTTTCTCATATCATAGTCACAGAAATTCCTTTTTAGATGCAGGTGTCTGAAGGTTTTGACATAGATTCAGAATCTTCTCAGGTTAATGAAAATGCTAAGGCCAATCAGATACAGCCATCAAATGGACCTCAAGCTTCATTATCTCAGAATGATAATGTACATAGTGACAATTTGCAAAGTCAGAGCAATACTAGTTCAGTGATACATGCTGATGAATCTTCTAAACCATTCGGAGATAACCCTGCTACAAGTGCAGTAAATCAACAGAATGAACGCATGAACAGCACCAAACACCAAGCCATTTGGGGACGCATCCCTGTAAGTATTTATGTATTTCCTAGTATTTATTATTTGAATTTGTAATTTAGGTGTTTCCATACCCAGTCATTTTAATTCTATTTCTTCCAAATGTTGTCTTTCCAAGACAAACTTGGTTGGTCATTAGGAATTTCTGCATTTGTAGCTTTTAGCATTTTGCCAACATAATTATATTACCAACTATGTGTTAATGGTAGTTGACAATCTTTTATGTATTTGGACTTCCAGGCTAAAAGGAATGCACCCATGGAACCCGTTGACCTTTCTAATGAAGATAAGTACGTGACACTCTATGTTTTGCCTGAATTAAATATTTTGCATATATGCCTAAAGCAAGTTTTCTTGGTCTTCTTGCATTTTGTATAGCAATTTGTAATTTTGTATCCAAACTTAATGTCTTCAATTTGGTTGTGCTTGCTTAGATTTTATGAGTTGTGCAATTTTGTAGTTGTGATGCATTGATGAAACAAATTGTTAAGTAGCTTGAATCCTTAAATGTCAAGCAGGAAACTGCATAGTGCATACCAGATAGCCACTGTCAGAAATATTGTTAGTTTTTCTTGATATTTTGATTCTCTTTGTTCAGCAGGCATTTGGGCTTATAATATATCAGCTTGTCACAGTTTAATAATTATGAACATTTCTTTTATATAAATTTATATCCATTCAATTTGTACATTTGATGGTTGACCATTATACAGGGTAGCAATTCAGAGGCTTGAAGTCGAAAAAACTGACCTACAAAATAGAATTTCCAAAGAGGTTGAGCCTTTAGAGTTCATATTTATTCTAAATTATCCTTATAGAAAGTTATTTTGAAATTATTGTTCTAATAATATCCATATGTTTTCCTTCTAGGCAAAAGAGAATGTTGTACTACAAGAAAGTCTGGAAAAACAAAAGACAGCTTTGCGTGAACGTCGCGTAGCTCTGGAGAAAGATGTATATATTAGATAGGAAACCCTTTTTTCCTTTCAGTTTTGCTTAGAAACAGCAGTTTGCATATCAATTATTTTCATGTAAAAATAATTGATTTATGTTTTGCTTTCCATTTCACCAAATAAATGGTTTGGTATATGCTCTTTATGCTCTTAAATATTGTGTAGAGATCTTATAAAAGGTTCTTAATATTTTCTAATCTTAAACTGGTTATGTAGGTTGTTCCTATGAATTGTTTGACCATAGATGCTATAGAGATGTAGAGCAATAACTAGTGCTGTTATTTTATTGTGGTCCCCACTACTGCTGTTAGTTAGTTCTCTTTATATTTGTTGTTAGGCTGCTGTTAGCAATGCAATGTTAGTTTATTAGTTATTTGCTTATGTAAGCAGTAGGGGCTTTAATGTAATTGCCATCTTATTTTTTGATGTTATTATAAATAGATGAGTGGGGTGGCAGCTAAGTCATATCACTCTTTTCTCTCATCTTCCTCTTCTATCTTCTTTCTTCCTTCTTCTTCTTGGACTGATTACAGTATTTTTTCTTCAGTATTTTTTCTTTTAATTTGCATCAAGAATTGGACTGATTACAGTCCGAATTTGTCTACTTGGTATCAGAGCCAATCTAGGGTTCCTCATGTGTGTCTAATCCAGCCGACCGCATGAGAATTGCTTAGGGCTGGAATCTTAGAAAGAACTGTTCATTGGCTGATTCTTGGAGGTTACCAGAAGGGTTTAGCTGCTGTCCAAAGGCTTGTAGAGGCTTGGAGAGTGTTTTGGTAATCAAGAAGAATCAGAGAAGGTTAAAAGGATCAATATTAGGGTTCAGGCCAAGATTGAAGGTGGCGATCAGAGTTTTCTGGGCAAATTTTTATCTTTTCTTGAGACCGTCATCAGTCAAAGATAGGTTGGACTTATCTAGAAGGAGCGGCTGAGCTTTCCCTTATTTTCTCAGAGGTGACCAGAGTTCTCTGGAGTTTTTTCTAGGGTTTGTTCTTAACTCTACGACCAGACTTGACTGTGGACCTATTTGGAAGGTGCGGCTGAGAATTGTTTTTGTTCTCACAAAGATTTCTCCAAGTTTTCCTTAACCCTACGATCAAACCTGATCTTTATTACCTTTTGGGTAATTCCTATATCTGTTTCAGCATTCCAGATTGTTTTCTAAGTGAGTTCTAGACTTGTTTCAGCTTCCAAACCTGTTTTTTGGGGATGAGAACCTTTTTTAGGGGAATCCCTTTGCTGAGAACTGGTTTCTCTTGATAAAGCTATTATAGAAATGGCAGGAGCTAAGTTTAAGACTCAAGGGGAAGGTGTTTTGGGGGCTGGAAACATGGGAGAAAACAATTTTCAGATCACTACTGTTAAATTTGATGGTTCTAATTACTTGGAATGGGCTCAGTCAGCCATGATGGCGATTGGGGGCAGGGAGAAGTTAGGTTATGTGAATGGAGATGTAAAGACACCAGCCAAGGAAGACCCTTCATATGCCAAATGAGTTAAAGAGAACTATTTGGTCATGACTTGGCTGTGTAAATCTATGCAGCCTCATATTAGCCACAATTATTTGTGGGCAAAAGCAACTAAGGAAATTTGGGAAGTGATGAAGGAAATCTACTCTCAGCCTCTTAATGTTGCTAGGGCCTATGAACTGGAATGTGAAGTAAATAATCTCAAAAAAGGGGAGAATCCGGTTTCAGTATACTTTTCCACTTTGAAATCCTTATGGCATGAAATTGATCATCTAGAAACTATTGAGTGGGAAAGTCAGAAGGATGTACAAACCTATAGAAAACAAGTTAAGACCAATAGGGTTTTTGAATTCCTAGTTGGTCTGAATTCAGAGTATGATATTGTGAGACAACAATTACTCATAAGGGAGAGTGCGACCTTATCTCAGGCGTATTCTTTAGTGCATAGTGAGGAAAGTAGGAGGAAGGTTATGTTGCAGTTTCAGCCTATGGAATCAGCCCTAACAGCCGTAAAACCAAAATTTGGGGGTGACAAGGAAAGGGACACAAAGAAGGAGGATAAGGACCTAGTTTGTGACCACTGTAAGAAGCTGAAGCACACCAAGGACACTTGTTGGAAGTTATATCCACATTTAAAAGGGGGAATGCCAATGTGGCAATTACTACTGATGGTGCATCCTCTTCCAGCACAAGAGCCACATCCCTAGACACTTTAGCTATTGTCCGGGCTGCTCTGACTTAGTTAGAAAGTGAAGTTGGTACTTCAGCTCCCTCATCTCAACTATGTGTTAAACGTGCTTTGGGCTACTTAGATCTTCATGCAAAAGCTCAATGTGTCTTTTGCATGTTAGAGCTACCAGAAGATCTTCTCAAAAAGACACGCCAAACGGGCCCTAGATTATTGGACGTCATCTCCTTGTCCTCAGTTTTGCATGTTCCTAAACTTAGTACTAACCTATTGTCAGTTAGTAGCATCACTAAAAATCAAAATTGTCTAGCGACTTTTTTCCTTGATCGATGTGTTTTTCAGGATCTAGAGACAAGGAAGGTGATTGGGATTGGCCATGAGACGAATGGAATCTACCTAATTGGAGGGTGTCTACATGGGGAAGATAAAGAAGTTGGAAGGTCTTTTGTTTCTCAGTCTGTGAGTTAGATTATGCTTTGGCATAATCAGTTGGGTCATTTGTCTTTTAAGTCTTTAAGGAGTTTGTTTCCCAATTTGTTTGAGTTAGTCTAATTGTCTAGTTTAAAATGTGAAAGGTGCGAACTTGCAAAGCACTGTAGAACAACCTATTCTTTGAGCAATAAAAGAAGTACTATTCCTTTTGAAATTGTGCATATTGATGTTTGGGGACCATATCATGTCACTGCTATGGGGGGATACCGATACTTCCTACTGTTTGTTGATGACTGCACTCGTCTTTCGTGGGTTTATCTAATGCACTCTCAATATGAGGTCCCTACTCTGACTCGAAACTTCCATTATCTTATGCACTTGTCTTTGGTGTGCTTTGGCTTCTTGCAATATTCACATACAACCTCCTTATTTCCAGAGCCACTAGGAGCCCCTACAACTCCTTTGGGTTTAACCCCCATATTTGCAAAGTGATCATTAGTGCCAACCCCTTGAACCTGTACCTGTCTTCTGCTTTCTTCACTGCTGACCAAAGCATATGCTTGTGACAATGAGACACTTTCCTTGGATAAAATATTTTGTTTTGTGATGTCATATTCAGGGTTTAGTCCAGTTAGGAACTCAAAAACTTTGTTTCTTTCAACTAATTTCCTGTAGGTTTCTGCATCATTGGAAGTATCCTAAGTCACAGCCTCTATTAGATCAACTTCTTGCCACAAAGATTTCAAGGTTGAGAAGTATACCGCAAGGGATTTCTCCCCCTGTCTTAAATTTTTCACATCACTCCTCAATTTATAGGCTCTGGCTACATTTAGTTTTTGGGAGTAGGTTTCTGTGGCACTATCCCAGATTTCCTTAGCTGAGCTCATCCACAGATAATGTTGACTAATCTGTGGCTGCATTGAATTCACGAGCCACCCAATAACGGTGTAATTCTCTTGCATCCATTTCTCATAAGAG